AGAGGGGAGTAGGGGTGGGGGGATGGAGGAGATAGGTGATGGGGAGTAAGTGCCCTTGTGATGAGCACCAGGTGATGTATGGACATGTTGAATCACTATATTTTACACATGGAACTACTATAATACTGTTAACTGGAATTAAAAACTTTAAAAAGATTCTAAGTTTTTACAAAATAATTTAAAAAAATGTTAAATGTGGGAGGATAGATGAAACGAAATGACTACATTTTAAGAATTGCTGAAGACAGATGATTGGTCTGTGAGAGCTCACTGGATTATTCATTCTCTCTCCTTTTCATAGGCCTGAAGTTTTCATGATAAAAAAAATGTAAAGGTGCTTCATTCTAAATTTCAATAATTTTCTTTGTACTTTGCCTTGTTAATTTTTTTAAAGGCACCATTGGATTGGTTAAATATCAATTAGTAAATTAATACTGTTTTTGAAATCCTCAAACATAAAAGGTAATCCATCAGTGTTATTTTTTTTTTAGGTCTTCCTCTGACTCTCCTCTTCCCTTGCCATCTGGGTTAACAGTCCACTGAGCTTTCTGACAACTATTGATTTGAACTTTTTGTCTCCATGACCATAGACTGCCCATATCTGCTTTCCCATGTTGGATTCACTCTCTCCTTCGTTAATATACTCTCTCTTTTTGCTGGAGCACCTGCTCCAGCAGCTCACTATTAATAAATAAGTGTGAAGCACATTTTTTTTAGTCTGTGGTATAGGTGTTATGAAGCTCAATGTTATTTTGATTTTCATGATTTTTTTCCTTTTTAGATTTTAGGATCTTCTCTTTAACTCCATTAAAAAAAAACTTCTCCACGTACACTGTAGAACGATGTCTTTCTATTTATTGTGCTGGGCCCCTTGTGAAACATGTCTCTAATACGTCTTGGAAATTTTTCTGGTTTGTTTTGTTATAACCTTACATTTTCTCTGGGCTCTTTTCCTATGACTCTTATGCATTGGATATTAGACCTATTAATCCCAATTTAAATATTTTATTTGGAGAAATGGTATAGGGAATGGAACAGGAAGGAAGTCAGGAAAGGTTGAATGAGCTCATGTGACCCAGCTGAAGAAGGGTGTAAAAGAAGTTTGGACGGAAGTGTCCTAGATACTCCTGAAACCTATGGTTTGACAAAGCCACCAGGGAATCCTTGAGGAGAAGCCTGCTGATGAAGGAATCCTGGGTCTTAGGAATGGGCTGGCCTTATTTTTTCTTTTGCACTCAATCATTGGTGGTAATCTAAACCTAAGCATGGATGCCCTGCATGCAGTGAAAGATTTCAAAGCAATGTACCTGGGATCTTGGTCAATTACCTTGGCCAACATCATGGCCACTACCGTAAAGTAGGTTCTAGGTTCTATTATCACTGTGATGTTGGATGTGTTAGTCTATGTGCCGTCCCTAGAACAGTGTTAGACACATCTCAATCATTAATTACTGTTATCGAGTGACAAGGAGATGCCTGCAAGGGTGTGTGATTAGCCACAAGAATTGTTATAAACTTTATGCACTAAACTTTAGGATCTATTTATTTCTGCCTACAGCACAATTCCAATAGGTTTAGTCAACTTGGGTACATGCCAAAGCCAGGGTAGAAGTGACAGAGTAAAAAGAGGTTGGAAGCTCATTATTATTAGATCAGAAAGCTGGGAAAGGGGTGTTTGACAGCAGGGAGAAAGAAAAACAGTAAAAAAAAGCAAACATGATAAAAGCATATATTTTCATGATTTTTAACGTTAGGAAATTTAGCCTCAGCAACTTCAACAGGCATGGCTGCTTCGTGGTATTTCAAAAACATAACAACCAATGTTCATAATAATGACTCTGATATCAAAAAACACTTTACCGGCACTTTGAGGAGGCAGGGGAGTATGAAATGCATTTTAGAATGATTTCCATCCAGAAGAGTTAAAACTGTAGAGGAGCTCCACGGAAAGAGTAAATTCTCCAGGATTCTGGACAGCTGATCATTTTATTGAACTAATTAAATATATGGCTTTTTTTTTGTTTCTCTGTGCATAACTGCACATCATTTCTTACTATCACTTGATAATGAACCCCCTTCCTCTTCTCACTTTACAACCTGATTTCATATCCAGACCCCCCCACTCCTTGCGTGGCATCCGTCATCACCGCCTAGGTTCACTTGCTTCCCAGGCAAACATAAAATCTCTATGACAGATTGCAAATACCAGCAGAACTTCCAAGTCATTTAAATTCAGCTGAGGTGGGCCTGGCCGTCCCCACCGCGGTCCCTGAGAGGACAGTCCAATGGCACAGGCGCCCACACTGCCTATCTGGCTGCCGTCCGCCCCCACCTTCCTCAACAGTACGCTTGGTTTTGACAGCACTTCAGGTCTCTACCCAGAGCTCCTTTTCACATGTTCCTGTTGTCACACAGCAACCTCTGACCTGCAGCGCTTCCACAAACACTGGGCTAACAGCAAAATCTCTGGTGTGGGATGTGTCACCGGCTACTTGGAAGAATAACCTAAAGAACCTGCGAGCAGCTCATCTTCCAGCCCCTCAGGAGGACTGAGTCTGAGAAGCTGCCATGGAGAGCTACAGACTTCCATGGTGAAGAGGTTGCTTTCAGCAGGCACAGGGGACAGCAGCAGGCACAGGGGACAGCAGCCTGCACAGAGGGACAGCAGCCTGCATAGGGGGACAGCAGCAGGCACAGGGGGACAGCAGCAGGCACAGGGGACAGCAGCAGACACACAAAGACAGAAGCACAGGATGGCCGAGCGGGGGAGCTGAAAGGCACACACAGAGGCAGACAACGGCCCCCGCGCGCACGAGTTTCCTGTCTTGGTCACTTCAGGCTGTTGTAAGGAAAATACCATAGACTGAGTACTTTAAAGCACGCAGAAATGTACTTCTCACAGCTCTTTGAGGAAATCCAAGATCAAGGGTCAGGCCGATTGGGGTGCTGGAGAGAACCACTGACTGGTTCCTAGACACCCAGCCTTCTCACTGGGTCCCCACAACCAGGAACAAACTCTCTGGGGTCTCTTTATAAGGGCACAAATCCCATTCATGAAGGCTCTGCCTTCATGACCTACTTGCCTCCCAGAGACCCCCCCCCCAATACTATCATGTTGGTGCTGGGGGTTGGGGTTGGGGGTGGAGGTGGGGATGGAGATGGGGATGGGGTGGGGGTGGAGGTGAGGATGGGGATGGTGTTAGATTTCAACAGAGGAGTTTGGGCAGTTGACAAATGAAAAAGGAAAGCTCATTTAGAGTGGAGCCAGGGGGCCAGCGGGGGGTGCTCTCACGCCCTACCACTCCTGGTCAACCGCAGACCCCACTGGAGGAGACTGGATCTTGCCTGCTGACACTACTACTTTCCACCCCAGCAGGGGCAAAAGCAGCGCCCCAACCCCACCCTGCAACAGTCCACCCAGTGAGATGCTGTCACAGTTCAAACAGAAAAAGAAAAAAAAAAAAAAAGGCCACCATACTTCAAACTCCCAGTTTACTCCAACAGACCTTTTGCTCATAAAAGCCTTCCCAACTTCACCCTTTCCTCTGTACTAGAGGGTTCCTCTCTTTTGTTCTGCAGACACGCCTATGGTTCGGCCATAACTTGCTTGTCCAAAATTGCAATTTTCTGCTATTTCCAAATAATCCCATTTTTGCTGGTAAAAATAACTGGCAGTTTTAACATGGGAGCCACACACATTCAGCTTATAGCATACCTAGAACGTATTTCAACGTTAAGAACAAAAGCAGGATCTGCCTCATTTTCCCACTGATTTGTATGCTCCTTGGGGGCAGAACTGTTTGTTTGCATCTACACTAAGTAAAATTTATGAGGAGGAAAAACACTGTCATGCTAAGCAGGCAGTGCTTCATTCATGCTTGATAATGAAGAACATACCCTAAAACACAATGTCTTAAAAGAAATCTGTTCCCAACATTATTACAAAAATTAAAATGAATGTTGATTTTGCACAGGTTTAATTCCTCCTAGTTTTGCTAGCTGTTACCTCCTTTTAAATCATCTGTTGTTTTGGTTGGTTGGTATTTTTTTTTCAGTTTTTGTTTTGATTTGGAAAAGGGTTCAGAGGGCTGTGCGAGATTCCATACAACCCAATGGGCAGCCAATTGTTTTAATTGTATTGAATTAATGACCACTTCTTTCCCATCTATTCTCAGCCTATTAAAGTCATTTATTTTTCAATGAGTTGTATTTCCCCTTTCCCTTTTATCCTAGATGGAATCAGCCCATTTTGAAATATACAGGCAAAAATAACTAAAATGCAAAAGGAAAAGTAGTCAGGAAAAACATGAGCCTGCTTGGTTAGATTGTTAATTTTTTTATCTTATTTTTTTCTACTCTCTATTTTTTTCATCTTTTTATTTTTACAAGTCTTGAAAATCAAATGTGCCACAACTCCTCAGGAATGAGTAAATTCAAGACACTAGTTGAGTATCAATCTTTAGAAACTAAAATTTATCTGAATTTAAAGCTAAATTGTTTTATTTTTCCCAACTAAATTGGTCAGATATGAAAAAGTATTCCAGCGTTCCAACTTCTGAGTACAAACAACATGTTGGCGAATTTGTATTGATTTTACCTGCCAATCTAGATGCAATCACACTTTTTAGAGCAGATTCCTGTAATTTGCTTTTCTATAAAATGTCACCAACGCATTAAATACTTTGAAAACAGTCTTTGTAAATCAATCTGCACTTATTAGATTTGTTTAAACGATAGCATTAGAATTCCATGCCGAGATTTAATTTGGTTTTAAAATAACTCCCTACATGCAGAACATTTCCAAGGGCGGAGAGGCTAGTTCCCAATTACTTTCATGCCGTCAGTGCTAACTGTGTTTAATGACTCACTTACCTACAAGCTGCGGGTTCTCTGAAGAGCTCCCTGTTCGGTGAGATGCACACATTTTACCTCGGGCTATTTCAAATTTTTAAAAAGGGGAAAATTCAGAACCAGAGCCAAATGAAAAGTAAAGGTCTTACCTTGTTCATGTCAAAGGTATTATAGACTTGATCAACGTGTTGATTGGCCTTTGGGTTCAGACCCTGCAGACCCAAGAGTGTCTTAAATTCGTGAAGTGTTTGCAGGCCAGATGGATATTCCCTCATAAATTTTCTGTACCACACATAGGTCTCTTTAGCAGGAACTGCTGCCTGACCACCAGCTCTGGATTCGTTATTTCCCATCGCGATTCACAGTCTCCAGCTTTTTCTCAGGTTGCTTTCATGTAAGGTGCCTACCGACTTAGTTCCTCATCACCCTTCACTAAAACTGGAGGCTAACATATGCCTTAAGAGAGCTCCTCTAAACCTCTTACAGCTATAGGCCAAATAAGAATAGAAAGCCAGTGAGATTAACTCATCTGAACAGTTTTAAGACAAGGTCATTTATCGCTAACTGATGGGATCATGCTTGCTGCCACTCAGAGATACAGTTTTCTGTAAAGGGCAGAGGCAATATTTTAAAAAGAATGATCCTTGCCATACTGTCAGCCATAAATTATGCTCATATTGTGGAGTGGGGGTCTGACAGAAAGAGTTCTTGAGTCTCAATCTAGAAGCCTGGGCTCGAGGCTTTGTTTGCACTTACTAAGTGCACTGAAGCATTACAGGCTCAGCGTTCCCATCTGTAAAACAGTAATGAGAATATTTGCTTTTTCATACCTAAATACTGTGGAGATAAATTTAGATGAAAACAAAAAGTCGGAAGCCATGGAAAACTGATACATTTTGAGTACTGTTAAAATGTAAAGCAAGTCATGTACAGAAGAAGGAAATAGGTAGAAAGAGCCATATTAGGAGCAGTAAAAACACTTGTAGGTGAGGTAGGCAGAAAAGTGCAATCTGCAGTTAATGAGACATATTAAGCTGTGTCTTTGGGCATTGTTCTCATTTTATTTTTTTGCTGTTTGTCTTTTCTCTCAAGTCTGCTTCTACCCATGCCCTGTACCTGCTAGTTTTGCCCCACTCCAGTTCCCAAGCTAGTCTTGTCTGAATCAAGCTCCAGTTGCATAGGACTTGAAAACTGAGTGAATGAGCCTAAGAACCATATCCGTGGTCCAGTAATGGAAATGAATTGCCCTGTGTGGCCCTCACACCATCTTGCTGCCAATCATATGTACAAGTAACAGAATTCCATTGTTCCCACCCAGGGTCATCTGGTCCTGAGCGTGGTTCTCCTCTCCTAACCTTATTCCATCCCCCCCCCCCCCCCCCCCCCGCCCAATTCTCATAGTGACTCAGTTCCTAAGTCTGGTTTCTGCCTTAGTCCCTATTCCTTAGTCCTAACTGATTACCTATTTAAAGCCCCAGCTCCCCAGAGAACTGGAGCCCTTGGGACCTACATGAAGTGCCTTAACAGGAGGTGGGGGTCCTTAAAGTATATAGGATTAATTTTGTTTCAACCATACCAAAGTAGATTTTAAATTGAAAAATTCTGAAACCATAATTACAGTTAAATAACAGGTATTCGATAAGATTAGAGAAATGTGGAACTCATTCATTTGGAAGTATTACTCGAAACCATTAGACTAGATGAGATTCCTTATGTGGAAGCCAAAGATGATAAGCCAATGAGGACTCCGTTCAGATAGGAAATATGAGGAATATTCTGTCAGGATCTTCAAAGACCATTCTCTGGGGGAGTCTCTGTGCAGACCTTTTCTAAATGTCTGCCAGAAGGATGCTCAGAGGCACTGACTTATCACCATTAACATTTATTAATCACTAATTTTTATATTAATAGAAGAATGGCTAGTTATGATGGAAGAGGAAGGTAATGAAAGTTTTCAAGGGGCCAAGGAAATCCCTCATGGAAGGAAGATTTTGGATAAATCAAGAATATAAGGACCTGAGATGCAGAAACTGTGTTACTTCATGTAAATGATGCTTTAAAAAATCTGCATAATTACTTGCTGATAAGACTTTAAAAGTATAGTATAAAGATTCTTATATTGGATACAATATTGATATCCCAAACTAAGGAATCCTGCTATATAAAACATTAATCTACTCTAAGATAATGGGAAAAAGACTTCATTTCTAAAAGGTCAAAGAATAAATCTAAATTATAATAAATTTAACTAGAATGTGCTGGATGTATTTGAAGAAAAATTTTAAATGCTAATATAGGGCACCAATGAAGACTTGAACATACAGATAAGCATATTTTGATCTTGGGTAGAAAGACTTGATATAAAAAAAGACAGTTGTACCATAATCTGTTATACCACCACACACCAAACAAGTGCAAATGAAGTTTGAGGGGTGGGTGTTGACTAAAAAAGCGAACTCTAAGTCTGGATAAGAATTAAACATGCAAAGATACAAAAGAAAATTCTAAAATATAAAATTATGGACAACTCCTACCAAAACAACACGGGTCCAACATGAGAAAAGTTGGAACAATCAATGAAAAATAATAGAATTTTTTTTAAGAACTTGGCCCAAATGCAAATAAGAATTTAACAGGACATAAAGCTGGCACTGCAGATCAAGTGGGGAAGAGACTGGTCATTCAATGAATACTTTGGGGGACAATACTGTATCTATCTGGGAACAGAAACAGTGGGATTTTTAACTTACTCTCTTCATCAGAAAAAATTCTAGATGAATCAAATATTTAAAATATAATGATTAAAGTCATTATAACAAGGCAAAATTTTATACTTTTTAGCATTGGAATGTCCCCTCTAAATAGGACTCAAAACCAGAAAGCATAAAGAAGAGGAAATTACTCAATTTCCTCAATTACTCAATTACCCAATTTTTTTAATCCCACATGACTCAAAACATTGTAAAATCTTTTTCAGTATAAAATTAGGAGAAAATAGCTGTAACACATATAAAAAATAATTTCCCTAATATAAAGATTGCTCCTATAAATAAGAAAATACTTACCATTAAATAGAAAAATGGGAAAAAAGCCAAATTAAAAAATTCAAATGAATTTTAAACATGAAAAGATGCTCAATCTTACTCATAGCATAGGAAATATAACTTAAAGCTACAAGGATATACCACTTTTCACCTACTTGGGTCAGCAAGATAAAAAAGCTTGATAATTCACTGGATGGGTGAATGTGTGAGGAAACAGGCGCTGATATGTGACTGTGGGAATATATATTAATAAAATTTTTATGGAGCACTATTGGGCAATGTCTACTACTAATAAAATGTACATGCCTTTTGACCCGGCAATTCATCTTCTGAGATTTATTTAAAATATAACTAACTGTGCATGTGTAAAATAAACATATTTATAGAGATCTGTTCATATAAACCCAAAAGACTGGGTAAAAATCCAAGGGACCATCAAAATGAGAATAATTAAATAAATTCTAGTATGTCCACAGAATAAAATAAATAAGGAGCAGGGAAAGATGAGAAGCTCTCCATGTACTGATCCTGATACGGAATGATCTTGAAGGCATATTAACTGCAAAAAGCAACAGAATCTTTTGGATGCCATCATGTCTATATTTATATCTGTATAATGACTTATACGGTTTTTTGTACACTGATTGTTTTTGGATGGACACAAGTAGCTGGTACAAGCACACCACTGGAGAGGAGTAGTTAAGTGTTTAAAGAAAAGGATGAAGACTCTCCACCATATCCCATCTCACACGTTCTGAATTTTATACTGTGTGTATGTGCATAAAATTAAAATTATACAATTCCACAACATTAAATGTTTTATTGCTTTTGTCCAAATTTGTAGACATTTCTAAACAAATAAAAATAATCAGTTATTAAGGAAAATATAAAAACGCAATTCTTACATATCTGTAATATGTATTCACATGATACTTAGAAGATTTGTACTTTTACTACCATTCAACAATAGAGTTATCATAGAAGTTATATCTTACAGTTTTTGAGGATATATATTTCCTGCTTTCCTGAGTATTGGCTATCACGGAGAAAGGACACACTGTCTTTCTTTTCAACAAAAGCTTTAAGAGGAGGTGATCCTGTAGTCCTTTGTACATGGATTTTAAAAACCACTGTTTTCTAGTTTTTATAGTCTTTTAAGTGAAAAAAAAAAAATTTAGGCCTGACATTTCCCTTTCTTCATAGCTCACGTGGTAACTGGAGAACTCTAGAACTAATTTCTGAAAAAAAACAGAGTTCTGGAACAGAACTGCAAATGTGTACTTTGTAAATCAGTCTCTATTTCTAAAATACACAATTTTCTTAGAATTTAACAGGGCAAACTGTACAATAACGAGTACAAGGCGAAATACGTTTTGAAAAGAATCTTCCTTTTTCTTATTAGCATTTTAAAAAGGAAATATCTTTTCTGACTTTTAATTTTGAGAACTATTTTCAGTTTTTTTCTAAAGGGAGACTATGTCCTGCATCTGTAGTCACTTTATTTAAAGCGTTCCGAAAAAGGGGATTATCTTCTTTAAGCAAAGCTTCTAAATAACCGTCAATCTGCTCCAGGTCTCCTGCCGGACTACCCTGGGGAAAGAGAATCAACAGTCACAGCGGGCTAAGAAGCTGCAGGGTTTATTCCTATCATCTGGGTGGCCTCTGAACAGTCTTCCCTATGATGCATGTAGCCACAAAACCCACCTTGCCCTGGAATAATGCCTTTAATCTTTTAAAATGTTTTCACACTTAATCTCATTTTATGCTCACAGGTGGTTAGGATCTTGAATCTTTTTTTTTTTTCTTTTTATGTGGAGGTTAGTTCAACTGGTTTTCCTTCTATTTAATTACTTGTCATATTCCTAAAGCCACCCTGTCTCCACTTCATTCTTCTCTATTATAGCCTCTTGTCTTCCATTTTATTTTATTTTTTTTAGATTTATTTATTTGACACACAGAGAGAGAGAGACAGAGAGAAAGAGACTGAGATGAGAGAGCACGTGCACAAGCAATTGGAGCAGCAGGCAGAGGAAGAAGGAGAAGTGGCTCCCTGCCAAGTGGAGAGAGGATATGGGGCTTGATCCCAGGACCCTGGGATCATGACCTGAGCCAAAGTCAGGTGCTTAACTGACCGAGCCACCCAGGCGCCCCTTATGTTCCAATTTAAAAGGTCATGTGTCTGGAGCACCTGGGTGGCTCAGTCAGTTAAGCATCTGCCTTTGGCTCAGGTCATGATACCAGGGTCCTGGGAGCCCCACATCAGACTCCCATTTGGTGAGGAGTTTGCTTCTCCATCTCCCTCTGCCCCTTCCCCCTTGTGCTCTCTCGCTCTCTCTCAAATAAATAAATAAAAGTTCATGAATCTTTAGCCCTATAGGCAAAACAGATGAGTAGGCATATTTGGACTCCTCTGTCACTTGTCTTCCCTCTGCAGCATCTTCCCTCCCACGCTCGGCTTGCTGCCCTCATCCATCTCCTTTTCTCTCCTTCCCCAAGTTCTCTGTGCAATTTCACCCTCTGCTTCCCTGGGGTGCTTAATCTCTGAACAGCTGGACAAATACTCCCTCTTTCCTGGCTTAAATCTCACTCCCCCCAAAGCCCAGCCCTGGGATCAGTCTGCTCTCCAACTGGAGCTGATGGAGAAGAGAATTTTTAGAAAGGACCTTTCAGAAACAATTCCAGCTTTAGGATTGTTCCCAGTCAGTGTCTGGCACCACCATCCTGGCTTCTCCATCCCTCAGCTGGTTCCATGAACTGTGCTTTTCTGCCTGGCTCTCTCTGCCCCAGGCCTCTGACAAAGCTGCACTGTCCTAAGTCCCAGCTTTATGACCGGGGCCCTGTCCCTAAAAACAAGCTCACATGAAAATCACGTTCACCTAGATTTTCAGATGCTCACGGGCCCTGAGGAAGGCCCTGGGTGACCCTTCTGGCACTGATGGGCCGACGGCTCTGAGTCTGTTCAGTCTAGTCTAATCCTTTGGCTCTGCTCTCTGCCTGGCAAGCCAGACTTCCTAGTAGGACTTGAGGCTGGTTCTGTCCCCAGCCTCTTCGTGGGCCTGCTCCGTCCATCTGCTTCGGGTCCACCTCGTCTCTCATCTTTGCTCTATGCCAGCATAGCTGCTCTAGCAATCAGAGGCAGCGAAAATTGACATTTCAAATCCGGGATGAGAATCAATCTATTTGGGCAGGAGTCCTCTGAGTACCTCTCCAATGATACTAGATGAAGCATTTCAGATACTCTGTGAGCTAAAGCCCCTTCACCTCCTTACTAAATGTTGTGAGTAAAGCAAATTAGTAGAATTCCTTTGGCTACTATGCAGGAACCTAGAGGTTTGGCATAGAAGGAAGAGTAAGTCCTTATTCTTTCATTTTTTTCTCCTAGCCAAGCAGAGATTTGCTATCATGAAAACCAGTAATTTTTATGAACTTTTTTGATAGAGAGTAGTATTTGATTTTTATGATATAGAATTTCTTTGGTCTCTCTAGGTTTTGTTACTAAAACAACAATCATCACTGAAGCTATACTCTGTACTGGACCTTTCAAACATAAAAATATTTGCTGCCTTTTACAGACACAATAACCACAGTAAGTGTCTCCCAGACCACCCAAGGCAGGGGGAGGGCGGTATCTTTTTTGGCCATCTACTTAAATTAAACAAAAATATTTTCTGAGTTTCATTTTGTATTCACTATGAGAGAAATCCCAAAGAACATAAAAGATATGTATTTTGTGAAAGAGGAATGGATTCACTTTGAAATGGTCACAGCCAGTGGCCTGGCTTCAAAGCCCATGCTCCTCACGTACTATACTGGTGGGTGCGAGTTTCCTGGTCTCTCCCCGACCCCTCTTCCTAGGCAAGCTAAGTCTCCACTCAGTCAGGGCTCTCTGTGGGGCCTCAGCTCCTGCCCTCTCACCTTGGATGGCCCAGAAAGGCCCTGTCTCCAATCCCGGCTCAGGGCCTAAGTCTGAGTACAAACTACCACGTGCTTCCTAGGCTTGCTGTTGATTTCTCAATTTATTTCTAGAATTTATGGAAATTTGAATTTATGCTATACATCGTTTAATTTTTAATGTATTCTATCCAGCATTTCTATTTGCTGTAGAAAGAAGAGGACCTTTCCTCATTAGCCCAATCCATCACAGGAGCCCTGTTCTTTATGCCTTCACATATCCAAACAAGATGAACAGCACACTTACACAAGGTTTCCTGACCTCTCTAACCTCTCCTCAAAGATTAGAAGAGTCCGTTTCTAATTATGTATTGAGATAAACATTAAAATGTTTTGTTGTCTGTTAAGATTAGAAAAAATTTCCTACTGGAAATACGCTACTGAGGAGACAAGTTGATCAAACTATACCAAACAGCACAAGCAAGGGTTCTGTTTTTTAAGAGAAAAAAATAACAGACTTTTAAAAAATGTTCTCATATATACTTTCAAAGTTCACTTATTTATGATATCAATATCCTTACAGGGAGAGAAAGGGCTAGGTTAAGTGACCTGTCCAAAGTGGATGACGATGGCAGGGCAGGAAGCTAGCGGAATGCTCTTTTCACAAAGTATATCCCTACTACTCAAAATTTCATTACTTACCAGCTGGAATTTCTGCAACAGGACTGCCAGTTTTTCCCGAAGATTATTCAGTTTATTTTCAGTAACTTTTCTTTTTTCTTCACATTGTCTCAGAGATATTTCATTAACGACTCCTCTTCTATTTGCTTCATAGATGATGGACTGCATTTTTATCTTTAGTTCTCTTTCATATTGGACCATGTAAACATTCTGGATCTGGGAACGTTTTTAAAACCAGTTTTAGTATATTTTTAAAGTATTACACTTCCCCCCTGCTATCAGAAAGCAATTTCACATTCCAATTCTGCACATAGGTACCAAGTGTCAACTCTATACCTGTGTACCACAGGTGGCCAAAACCTAAGACACAGTGATACCCTGAAGGAACCTGCAATCTGATGGAAGGAGGAGAGACAAGAAAAAATGTCCAATATTCCAATAACTATAAAGATGGGAGAGGCATACAAGGGTGAGCTTGGAGACCCTCGCTTTGAAATGGAAAAGGAATCTAGTAATGGTTGAATTTGTCTGCTCACCAGTGACCCCGAGTATGCAAGGGGGGCATTGGTGGTACCTGTGACCCTCTCTCCATAGCACCAGAAACTCACAGGCAACGACAGAATGGCCGGCCACTCGGGGCTTTCCTGATGATGTCATGTTATTTATAACTCAAGTCTGTGGCATCTGGAAAGTGCAGAAGCTACAGTAAGAGGAATTCCTGTTCTGTCACTCTCGTTGCGGTCCTTATCCTGATGCACAGTACGGTCACTTCCCTACACACATGGCCCTCGCTAATTCAACAGTCTCAGCTGTTTCCCAAGAGTTCATGTTGTGGCTGAGGCACTCACAGAGTAGAAAAGGTAACGGAGAGGCCAAGTGCTCCAATTTCAAAATGACATTAATTGCTCGTATCAACACTTGGAGAGGGCCAGGGGATGTTCTGAGAAAAGAGATACAGAGCAAATCCTGTTTTGATACACATTTGAATGCTTCTGCAATAAGGAGATTTCTGTGTTCTGATATGTCTGGGCTGCCAGGTAAACTGCCAGATGGTCTCATTTGACTTCTGAGTCTACTCTTGCCTTCCCCCACCCCGACCCAAACTCACTAATACCGGCAGGCCCCTCCCAGGCACTGTCCCCATCAGCCCCTTTAAGTACTCATTGCGCTTGCGTATTTCTCCTCTTTCTATAAAATCCTTTTAACAAACAAAACCCCTTAAATACACTGAAGTCCATCTAACATTCACTAACCACCTCCTAAATTCAAGGCATTGAATTTTGTTATAGGTGATACAAAGATGCACACACACAAAAGTGGGAGGAAAGGCAGAGGGAGAAGCAGATTCCCTGCTGAGCAGGGAGCCCACCAGGCCTTGGGGCTCAATCCCAGGACCCTGAGATCATGACTTAAACACATGCACGCGCACGCACACACACTCTATCTATCTATCTATCTATATCTATCTATCTATCTATCTATCTATCTATCTATCTATCTATCTATCTCATTTAAAGTGAGACTTAATTGTAAAATCTGTGGATTGCCATGTGAAGAAATCAGATTTTTAGAGTCTCAAACTGCCTGGGCACTTGTGTGTGGGTACCAAGAATTAATATGATGCTGAAATCCTTGGCCTGCCCCTATCTATCTACTTTATTTCTTGAGTTGCACATGTCATTCTTCTAAGAATACACCAAGCTCATTCCTGCCTCAGGCCCTTTGCTCTTGCTGCTTTCTCTGTTAGTGAGTTCAACCCCGATCTCCACGAGGCTCACTGCTTGCCTCAGATCTGGGCTGAAACATGGCTCAGCTATCCCTTGCTCACAGTATCCAAAGTAGCCTGCCCTTTCCCCCAACATGCACCATTATGGTCTATCCTGGGGCCTTGCAGCACTATTTTATGTTTATTTACGTGTTTAATGTCTCTCATTATGTGATGTTACATTATGCTTTACCTGTCTGTCCTCTAGAATGTAACCTCAATGTAAAAAAAAAAAAAAAAGAAAGAAAATTGGTTTTGTTTACCCCTGTATTTCCCATGCCTGCCACATAGTTGGCACTAGACAGTGGGGAGTTATGACAGAAGATGTGCAGCATTCACAGCAAGGGGATTTTAAGCACACAGGCCGATCCTGCCCGGAAATGCAGGCAATGTTCTGCGAGCACAGAGGGGAACTGGTGATCTTTGAACTTTCAAACATCTTCAATTCAACCTACAAGAAGTTGATGACTTACAACTAAGGCGATGATCACTTCCTCCAGGAAGCTTTACAGAGGTCAACCCCAGGAAGTGGGTCTCCCAAGGCCAGACAGGGGGAGTAGGATAAATAATTCAACTCAGCCAGAATAAGGAGGACAGGGTCATAGATAGCTCAGATGTCACCAGTCACGCAGAGTTCCTAGTGTTCAGAGCTCTACAATTTCACAGCTTTTGCCATCCAGAGCAATAGCCAGGGAACGCTTCTTGATAAAAGCAACAGTAGTGAGAAAACAAACCAAAACATGTAAAATTCAAAGAAACCTGAAAAACAACATTACTGCTTTTCAGCAGTAAAAGGAACGTACTATTGACAAACACTTGAATGGATATGGAGGGAGTTATGCTAAGTGAATAAAGCCAGACAGAAAGTGAATATTAAAGGACTCCATCTCTACAGCATGACTGAAATGACAAAATTATAGAGATGGAGAACAGATTAGCGATTGCCTGGAGTTGGGGTGCTTGGGTGTGTGTGCAGTGTGACTATAAAGGAGAGAACGTGGAGAGCTCGGTAGTGGTGGGAGTTCTTTCTGGATCCTGGTTTTGGTGGTGGTCACACAAATCCACACATTTGAATAAAATGAGACATATATTTTACCAACTTCAGTTTTGTGGTTTTGATATTCTACTATAATTTTATAATTACATAAGACATAAGCATTGGGAGAAATTGAAAGGTACATGAGACCTCTCTACTATTTTGTAATTTCCTGTGTGCCTATAATTACTTCAGAATAAAAAGTTCAGAAGACAACACTGTTCATACAGTATGACATTAGGAATGTTTATACAGAACCCTACCTTCAAGGTCATAGTGTCTCAAGGTCATACTTAGTCTCTCAAAGTTCACAGTTTTGTAACCAAGAACTGATATTTCCTTCAAACACAACAGCCAGTTTCCTGATTTATTCTTCTGCCTTTCTCAAGCTAACATTTCCAATAAGTTTTTATAAAAGGTAGCAATTTTGAGAACTTTCAAAGTTCATTGTAAAAGGACTTCTGGTTGTATTAACATTTTAATTAAGATGAGTAGAGAATTTTAACAAGATGAGAGGCTTAGTTCTGCTGGTTAAACCTACTCTTGTAGAGTTGTTTTGGCGGATCAAAAATGGAATTCTTTCCAAACTCCATTAATTCAGAAAAGAATTAGGATTTGAAAGAAAGGATATTCAGCTGAGATTTTAATTTTCTGCCTTGAATTTAAAAAGTCAGGGTTCTCGCAGCTCTGGAGAGCTCCAGAATCCTAACTAGTTAGCACAAAGTAAGGCTGGCCTCCAAGCCCTATAGATTTTGTACTCTACTTGTAGGTATATGACATGTGAGTGTTTATGGGGGCTGGTACTACAGCAGAGACAGTCAACCTTGATCCAATGCAAACGGTAGGGTCCAGATATTCAAAGGTACTAACCGAATGCTGGCAGGATATAGAGTTTGATAAGAGACAATTGCTAATTTCAATGAGTCTATATAATCTAGTTATATTAGGAGAAAAGAAAATAGAGGGAACAACTACAATATAAGGCAAAAGATATAATTAATGCTAAAAAAGTTTTAAGGTTCTCTCAAAACACAGAAAGTCACGATTAAGTTCACATGAACATACTGAGGGAGTCTTGAAGTGGAAGGTGGCATTGGCTCCACATAGGGTGGGCAGGACTGAGGCCAACTGCAGGATGGGAAAGTAGATGAGAGTGTTCTGGGGGACAGTATGGGGAAGGGCTCAGAGGCAGGCCAGTCTAGTAGGCTGGAGCAATCCTATTTAGGATAGGGCTTGTGAGAGGAAAGAATAAAAAAATGGTGGTTCATGTCAAGTTGTATAGCACCACTCATACAGTCATAAATCATCTCCTACTAATAGTAGTTATGGAAACCAGGGCCAGGTGACCAGAGACATCTGTAACTTATCAAGGGTCCTCCTGTGCTTTGATGTAGCCGCCTTTATTAAAAGTACATAGCTTAAAGCAAGTTGCATAGGTCTATCCTCTACATGGGTATCAAAAAATGATTTTAATAGTTTTTATAACCATGCACTTAAAACTACCAATCATTAATAAAGTCCTCATAACCAAGCAGTTTCATGCTGGGGAAGTCATGATTACAAAAAAATCGTTCTGTATTTCGCTTGCAACATCTCTGGTTCAATAGGAAGTCACAGTCTCCTGGCTTTATCTTGCTTTGATTCTTTGAATCCCACTTGCCCTCAACATTAAGAGGATTCTACTCATCATTTCTGCTAACACTGTTCACCTTGTATAAATACTTACCTTACTGAGTCTGGTCTCCAAAACCCAACAACAACTTGGCTCCATTACAGATCATATAGATACCAGAAAAATATCACTTAGAAGCAGACATAAGCCTGGATAAACTAAGATGTGGAACAACCTAATCCTTAGCAAATTTCTAAGTTTCATGGTGGTAAGTATTTGAGTCAGAGTTCCTTAACCAGTAAATGAAGATCTGTGGGAACATCTAGGAGCCTTACTGGTACCTCTTTGAGCTGGCTGCCAGACTTACAGTTGGGACAATTCCTGGTGGGACACTAAAAATATGGCCATCACGTACCCTCCCCCCCATTCCACAATCAGCATCCTCCCATACGTGTCTCATTATGCAACATAGAGGTCTCTAGTAAGTTAATAATTCTTTTACACCGAAAGGCTGAGAAGCTGTGGTATACCTACTGCAAGTAACACATCCGAACTCTATCACAGGATGAAGTATGACAGTCTGGATAAGAATAAGATGCAAGACAGTGATGCAGAGAATGAGCTTTGAGTAAGACAAACCTGGGTTCCAACTTACTTGAATCATGACATTGTAATAATATCTTACTCTCAGTTCCTCATTACCAACATAAAGAGAGTGGCATCTACCTCCAAGTGTTGGGAGGGTTAAAAGAAGTATTGACTATAAAAGGTCTAGTTTAGTGCCTCCCTTTACTGGCTCTTGATCAATCCCTGTTTTACATTCATGGATAAAAATAATATTAGTGCTAGAATAGGCTCAAAAATATATTGAATGAAAACTTTGTCTTGTAATCTAGGAAATGTGGACAAGCACATCTTTAGGCTGAAAATGTTCAATTACTCCTTTTCAACAGACATTATTAGGGAAATAGACTCACTCTTCAGTTGCACAATGATGGGAAACATTCATTTCCAGCTGTTTATCACAGTCCAGTAGGCCCTCATTCAGAAACATCAAAGGCAAATATATCCACAAGGGTGTGAAATTTAGGTACATCCTATACTTCAAATACTTTGTGATACAGCCTTTCTAAGAAGGAATCTGGTTTAAGTTCTAATTTTCATTTCAAATTTGTCTGGTTATATGTCTTTTGTAATTCTATCTCATTTATGAAACAAGAATATCCAAACATACTCCATTCCCTACAAAAGAGATGAGGCAGTGCCTTTGTTTCTGTTGGTGCTTCTCATAATTCCATGAAGCACCACGCACCTCCTAGTCTTTATAGGTTTGCATGTTATTGTGACAGTTTTCCAGAAGACGGCTTGTAAGCCTAAGTACCTTTAGTAGCATTAATTATTTTTATAACTATTTTTATGATGGAAAAATGATAAACTTAAAAATTGTTGACAGGATACTAAAAAGCAAACAAAAAACATAAAAAAAACCCTCCAGAAATACCAAATTGTCCAAAATAATTAAAAACTTTAATCTACCAGTGACTCCTGATTTAGTCCAGTGTCTCAAGGATTTAATCTATTTCTTAAAGACACTGGACATCATATTTTCTGTTCAAAATATAGTCCTACTCCCAGTGTTTCATAAGCTTTCTGCTGTGGAAATATTCGCATTTTAAAATTCAAAAAAATGTTGCTTTATGGCATCTGATATGCTACATATTAATCTTAGTCTTGATAAGAGAATACAAATTTGATTTCCTTCCAAACCTAACATTTAGGAATGCATATTATTTCTCCTTTGGAATATGGGATCATTTAGAGTATAAATGACTGCATTGGAAAAAAAAAACTTACCTGGTTGAAGCACATTCTCAGCTTTTTGTTTGTCTGCTCTGGGCACTGCTCCAGCTGTTTTTGTAAATGATAATAGAACAGGATATTAACTTTTAGAGAATGAGCTGTCTACAATGGAATTATAACACGCAAGTATCTAGTATAAAAAAAAAAAAACAAACATCAAAGCCTAGAACTGGCCGACACTGGTACTGTGAGTCTTTTAAGCCTGGGTCTAATTAAATTAATTACCTAACATATACCTCACCTTATTCCAAAAAAATATTAAGGCAGTTTACATAATTAATAAACAACATGGTTAAACAACTGCAGGAGAAAAAAAAGTGAAGGAAAAGAAAATGACAATTTTCAAGAGGATGTCAAGAAGTAGCTGGAGTCTGGATTATTTCAATGAAAAGAGAACACCCCAGAAGTTGACTGGGGAGGCACTGGCATATGGGATCTAAAGCCACAGACTTGTTGAGGTCACCTAGAAACAGCCCTTAATAGAGAGAAGAAAATAGCCCAGGAATGGACCCTCAGACATGCCAACATTTGGAAACCAGAGAAGGAAATGAGTTGTGAGCAGAAAAGATGGAAGGAAGGAAAGCAAAAAAATGGGAAATATGTTGTCATGGAGGCTACACAAAGAAAGTGGTTCAAGAAAGAAAACGTGGTCAACTGGGTTGATCTCTAAGAGGTCAGGTAAGATGAGAAGTGACTACTGCATTTGTCAGCATAGTGGCCACTGGGCCTCACCAGACAGTCCCAGTGAAGTCACAGAGTTGGAAGCCTGGCATTGGGGCGGGGGGGGGGGTGGTGAGAGAGAGGAGGAGGGGGGAAGGTGAGGTGAGGGTAGAGGTGAGGAAGCAGAAACAATATTGTAGATTAGAAAATTAAGGGATTCCCCCCAGGATCAGATGAAGGCATATGGCATCTCCATCAAGTTAATTATTTGCTGCTCTTTTTATTACTAGCCTTTCCATATGTATCTGTCCTTTCCACAAGCAATGCTGAGCACGAAGTCAAAGAAGGTGTTACAAGATTGCAGATTTCTTGTCCTGTGGAGTCAAATAATGAATCTCGGGGAGGACACAAAAGGGTGAAGTGAAGTGAAAGTTTATTAAGTGAAGGTAAGAAAAGAAAGGAAAAAGAAAGCTCTCTAGAGTAAGAGGGGTCCCAAATGGGTTGCCACTGAGGGCTTTTAGGCACGGTCCTTTATGGAGAACTTGCCCAGGGAACTTGTGACCTTGAGATCCTTGAGCCGTTCTGATTTGAGCAAGGACTATTGATAACGCCCTTAATAACTTACTTCTTTGAGGTTTGGTAATTTTCTGTTATTACATTGTAGCCGCCAAAGAAAAATACTCCCTAACATCTGGGGCTGGGTGGTCTGGTCTATTCTCTTTCTCTTGTTCACTCTCCTTTAGCTCTTTTGCCTGCCAGGAAGAGTCTCCGAGCCCAGTCAGGGGCCCCCTCCCCTCCCCTGCCTATACCTTAACCCTTTCCTTACTCAAAGGCATCCTCCCATCCTCTGTACCCCAAGATTCTTCTCGGCTCCAGTCAGCAGCTCCTGGCAGTCTCAGGCCTGCCTACCTCACTCAGCTTCACCACAGCCTTCAGTGACTTAGCAGTCTGGGGACAACCCACTGTGAGCCCAGGTACCGAACAAAGTTTTCCTTCTAAGCATACATGGCACTGACCCTGAAAGGAGATTTGGTCAATACAATTCTCTTCATCTTTCCCTGTGATGTGTTAGTCACTCTAATAAGACTAGTGCCCTGGGCACCTGCATGGCTGACCCACCCAATCCTCACCTCAGCCCCTCATGAAGGGTGGCTGAGGAAATGAACCCAAGCAACAGAAACACTATTTTTGGTGTCGTGGAGGGAGGTCAGGGACCATGTCCTGTTTCTTTTCATCTTTACGACTTGCTGTTCTCAGTCTGTAGAGCTTATCTGAACCTTGGCCACACTGGTTATAAATGTACTTTTCATTCTGAGTCATCAATGTGGTACAAAAATCTCCATCTTCATTCACTTAAGCCATTCCTGGTCCTTTTCCTGTTAACGCTTCATAATTTGTCTGCAATGAAGATTAAGTTCAGGCTTATCTGTCATTCTCTCAAAGTTCCAATAAAGCCGGCTTACCTCAAAACTTGCTGCAAGATCCTCCACAGATGTGTAGCCAAATCCTGATGGTGGCTGATACTCAGGGAAAAAATTCAGAATAAACTCCCTAGGAAGATGAGCACAGCAGAGATGGTGATACGCCAGGAAGAGGGACGCAGCAGTCGCCTGCCAGAACCGCTATCTCCTGGGTGTTAAACGTCTTGGCAAACGTGAACATGCCCACCAAATTGTTTTTACCACTGTCCTCAGAGTCTTCCCCAAAAAGCATAGATTGGGGAAAGGGTGTGGCTATGAAAAGGCAACCGGAGGAATCCTCATGGTGATGCAACTGTTCTGGATGTTGACTGCCTCAACGCCAACATCCTGTGATAGCGTTACCACTGGGAGGAAGTAGATAAAGGGTACAGGGGATCTCTATGATTTCTTACAACTGCTTGTGAATCTACACTTATCTTAAAATTTAAAGTTTATTTTAAAAAGAAGGGAAGAAAGAGGAAGGAAGGAAGGAAGGAAGGAAGGAAGGAAGGAAGGAAAGGAAGGAAAGGAAGGGAGGGAGGGAAAGAGGAAGGGAAGGGAAGGGAAGGGAAGGGAAGGGAAGGGAAGGGAAGGGAAGGGAGGGAGGAAGGAAAGGAAAGGAAAGGAAGGAAAGGAAAGGAAAGGAAGGGAGGGAGGGAAAGAGGAAGGGAAGGAAGGAAAGAAGGAAGGAAAGAAGGAAGGAAGGAAGGAAGGAAGGAAGGAAGGAAGGAAGGAAGGAAGCAGGAGACAGCCATGGTCTCACAATCCCCACCCATAATCGAGCAGCCCAGGAAAGCCCCTCACCTCCTTGAGTGTTCTTGCAGAAAACTTAGCTTTGCAAAATTCCTGAAGGAAAGACATTGTCTACTTACTTTTCTCCCTTAAGAAAACCAGAGAACTTAATTCCCCAGAGTAATTCCTTTCATCTTGCATTCTGTGGCTGCTCTTAGAAATCATACACGGACTCTCTTTCCCAACAATGATTGGCCCCTGTTCTGACAGGTGCTTCATTCTGCCGAGAGGCAGCGGCGCCCCGCCCTTGTAGTGTGACAGCTTTTCTGGGATTAGTCACCTGGGCGATACATATTTCACGCCTGGGAGAAATATGAAATCTAGAAATTTATAGCTACAATATCTTAAAAGTGTACAGAGTGTTTTTATGTTGAAGGGTTCTAAGAACCTCATGTATATTATCCAAGGGATTCACAAGATTTTTCCAACCGTAAAATAACACGGCACTCAAAAATTTTAAAAAGCTGTTTCTTACATAATTTATATTTCTAGTGTTTTAAGATTATTTGTCTTAATAATCATTTATAGTTTTAAGGAAAATCTAATCCAAAACATTAAAAATCCTCAGCACTGCACAACATTAAACATCTCTCTCTCTCTCTCTCTCTCTCTCTCTCACACACACACACACACACACACACACACACACACACACACACGCTCCAGAATTCTTTGCCTGGCTAGTAAGAAGGTGGGTGGCTAGCAGGTATTTGGATGAGCAGAAATCGGACGGCATAGAAAGCAGAGCTACAAGTGGGGTCCTGAGCAAAGAGGGCCTGTGGTCACTGCCAGGACTGGTTTAGTGGGGCAGAAAGGGGGAGGTCTTTTACACAAAGCAGCCCCCCTCCACATTCAGTCTCCCGTCCTCCAGCACACGATTCGAGCCTCTCCAGAGCAACCATCCTTCCTGGTGGGCCTAAATTCTTTTGGGTTTAGATCTATCTAGAGCAAATCAGCAATCTTCTGGGGAGGTGCTTCCAGAGAAGCAGGTATTAGGTGGTGGTAGCATTTGGTTGGGACTGGGAGAGGGTGCAGGGGAGGGGAGGGGGCTACGAAAAAATTCTCGGTGAGTTCTGAATTGTCCTCAACCTACGCAATCTCTACATCAGAACTGACGCCAAACATCATCTAGAGTCTAAGTAATTTCTCACGCATACCTACTATTATTTCTAAAGATAGGCACCATTTTAAAATACAACTTTATGTAAAAGTTTTATAGCTTTTGCCGTGTTGTATTTTCTCAAAACACTCAGGCTCAATAATCCCCCAGATACTCGCTGAACCCCACTACGACATAGCTTTTACCCAGTGACCCCTGCCAGAGCCTGGCATCGTGCACCCATGCTAGAAACCCATACATTCTTAGTACTCGGCATTCAGTAGTGGGGAATGCAGGCAGGGAAGCAAGCTTTTCCAGGACAGGGTGGTAAGTGCTGGGATGAGAATGGGATGCAGTGCCACGGTCACTGCGATGAGGGGCCCTCACCGTCACGGGGAGCCCCAGAGGAGGAGTTGTTAGCCAACTGTGGGGTAGGAAGGTGGGGGCACAGGAAGCAAGTATGACAGGCCACTGCACTACATGTTGGGGACAAATTTATTTTTCAAAGATTTTATTTATTTCCTTGAGAAAGAGAACACAAGCAGAGGGATCAGGAGAGAGAGAAGGGGCTACCCCAACCCCAGCGAGCAGGGAGCCCAAGACCCTGAGATCATGACCTGAGCTGAAGGCGGACACTTAACCAACTGAGCCACCCAGATGCCCTGGGGACAAGTATTTTCTGGCAACACAGAGCCCCCCAGTCACATTCCACCACTCTTTAGAAAGTGCTAGAAATGTGCTGAGGGCTACTTACTATATGCTTCATAGATGTAGCTTCACGTAATCTTTATGGAACAACTTTGATTGAGGAAACATTCTTACTTTGAGCCTCTCTGGTTTCCTGATTACTAAGGACCCACCCCCCATGGGCCCTAGCAGGTCTCCTGCACTCTCCAGTCTCCCCGTCCAGGGCCTCCGGTTTCTGCCTTTCACTCTCTCCTCCCCAGAGCTGCTGCTAATTAGCTTTTCCCTCGGGGATTCTGTCCCATAAGACACCAAGTCAGAGGAAAAATTATACAGCTCCTGTGGTCTCCAAGCATAAACACACAGACTTCTTCGTTTTCCTGAAAGGTGAACTCAGAAAAACTGTTAGGTGCTGTCAGAAAACGGTTAAGACCCCAAACATCGCAGAAGCAGGGTGCGAGTGTAGTTAAGAACTCTTAGAAAATTCCTTCATTTATTGCCTTGAGTCCCTTTCTTCAGGGGTATTCCTTGCTGATACCTTCTTTTGTTCCTGAGAGTGGATCAAACCTCTCTTCACTCACAAACTTTAGGTTCCCCTTAGGACACAGTGGTCCTCTAGTCCGTGAAAGGGGGGCTTCCAGGAGGTGGGCCAGGAGGCGCTCAGCACAAAGCTGCAGGGATGAAGTGGCGTCCGTTCACCAGTATCCACAGAACCCGGCGGATACTGTGCGCCCGGGGGGACTCATGAATCAAGAGCTGCCTTTTCAACAGGCCTCTTGGCCCGTAGGAACAGCCCTCCTCCCACAGAGCATCTACTCACAGTTCTACCCTCAGGCTTGACAAGAAAATCAAGGAAAATGTCTTTGCTTAACACTTTCTTCTCAAGCATTTAAGTAGGAAATATCCTAAAGATCTTCCAGAGCTATTACTTGCATCCAGGACCCTAGGAGGTCCTTCCTTGGCTATGAGGCCCATCCCGGCTGAATTCCTATAAAATCCACATCCAAATCTGCAAATTTGATCTGGAAGTTCTTACAGAGGTCAGCCGGGTGAGCTACAACCCTGCGTAGCACTGCTTGCATCCGTGGTGGCCAAGCCTGGAAACGCTGCAGCTAAGGGTCATTTCCTTTGCACTCCACGGTCCTATTCCCTTCTCAACGGAGTGGTTTTTGCTTATGAAAAATCTCTTACTTGCATTAATACAGCTTCATTGTCTCTAGACATGAGCAGGGAAACACAGAATACCTAGTCATCCAGCTGCTCTTTTTAAAAAGTAACTACGTTAATAAGCATAGTCCTGGGTGGCTCAGTAGGTTAAGGATCTGCCCTCAGCTCAAGTCATGGTCTCAGGGTCCTGGGATCGAGCCCTGCATTCGGCTCCCTGCTCGGAGGGGAGTCTGCTTCTCCCTCTGCCTCCCCTCTCTGCTCATGCTCTCTCCCTCTCACTCTCTCTCTCTCTCAAAAAAAAAAAAACTTTAAAATAAAATAAGCTTGGTCTTGGCTAAGAAAAAGAACAAGCCTCTTACTTGAGGTAGATTGAAACTCTCTTCTCCAACCCGATGAAAGAGAAAGATGAGGATGAATAGAAATGGCAAAGCTTCATTTCCCCAAACCAGGATATCAGATCACATTTTTTGACAGACCTCAACTGCTAGTGTATTTACTTTTGTGGGCTTTTCTCTTGCTTCAGTAACTGGCAGCAACCTGTACCAAGGGACTTCCTTTTTATTTTTATTTTTTATTTTGATTTATTTTTTAAGGATTTTATGAGAGAGAGAGTGGGGGGGGGCGGCAGAGATACAGGCAGAGGGAGAAGCAGGCTCCATGCAGGGAGCCCCACATGGGACTCAATCCCAGGACTCCAGGATCACGCCCTGGGCCGAAGGTGGCACTAAAACGCTGAGGCACCCAGGGATCCCCCGGGGACTTCCTTTTTAAAACTTATTTTTGATACTTTTAAAACTGAAGCTAACACAAAGCATGTTGGGCTTTTGCAGAGTTGAAATAAATGAAGTCTGCCTTATTATCAAGTTTATATAAACACAATAAACTGAAACAAGAGGTTATAGGGCTAGCAGTTAAAAGCAAGGACTATGAGACTGCCAGGATGCAAATTCCAGCTCTATCACCCAAGAGTTATATAATGCTGGGCAAATCACTCAACCTCTACAAACCTCACTTTTCTCATCTGTAAAATGGGGATAATAAAGGTCTATTTATAGGGCTGTTGAAAAGTTTAAAAGTGAGTTAACACATGGAAAGCCCTTAAGACAGTGCCTGGTACACAGAAAGTACATAATAAATATGTATTATTATGATGATTAATATTGAGAGTAACCTGAGATTGAATACTACTCCAATATTAGGATCATCTGATACAACTTAACAGTCTGGATCCTAGTTTAGTTCTGCTACCTCTGACTTAACACACCCCATAATCTGAAAATATTTTAATATCCAGCAATACCATTCACTGCATTTTACATTAGTCCATCTCAGCTTTATTAAAAGTATTCTTTGAGGGGCCCCTGGGTAGCTCAGTCAGTTAAGTGTCCGACTCTTGATCTCAGCTTAGGTCTTGATCTCAGGGTCATGAGTTCAAGCCCTGCATTGGGCTCCATGCTGGGCATGGAGGCTACTAAAAAGAAAAGAAAATTATTCTTTGAATACCAAGTATTATATGCTAGGCAAATATGGAAAATCCAATCTGTTTTCAAATATGTTAACTATATTTGGGGGTTAAATAAACTAATACACAAAACAAAAAGTAATATAAGTCAGAAAACACTAAACTGAGCGTTATCAGGTAATGAAAATGAACAATGAAAATGATTATTTTTATTAATTTATTTCATTAACATGAAATAAACAGAAGTGTTTGGACTCCACTTTGGCTGTGTGGAAAGGGATAAGGATGATGGCACGTCCAAAGTGAACCAAGTGGAGGGAAAGGGCTCTAACGATTCTCTTCATCATGTGACAAGCAAGGCAAACCTAGTGAACAAGCATCAGTGAACAACACATGGTACCTTCCACATTCTGCACAGCCAGCTGTGATCTTCATACCTTGAGAATGTGAGGTCTAGTTAGCACAATGAATAACACGTGGACCAGACACAGACTAGCGCAGTGCAGGGGGGAAACATAACAAAGAAGACAAGAAATCTGTTTTCATCCATGAAATGTGAGAAAACATACTACATGCTGCTTAAGGCAAAAGAGAAGATTGATGAATGAGGAGCCCATTTCATTCCAGTTAAACTTTGTGTTCTGTACAATTCTTTTCCCACTTAATATTTTTGTGAAACAATCACCACAAAAAAAATTCAAGCTGGTCCTGAAAAGGGCTGATTTATTAATATGTTTGGCTTTCAGAGTGCTCAGCTGATAATTGTACGGTGATTTCAAGCAGCAAAGATTCCACATGTTCATTAGGGAGATGGTATCCAGGAAACTTTAATTTCCTAGTGATGCCTAATTATAGAAGTGAACATATTTTAAAGTCCTAGCACTCTCAATCACATTATCTCCTTTTTGATCACATGTAACATTAAAATTAATAATAATGATACACTTAAATGCAGAGCAAAAATGAGCCAAGGGAAAAATAAGGAAAATGATGATACACAGAGGCATACCCCAACTCTGCTGCAACGCAAACAGATGGGTCTCTACAGATCTCAGTGTGGACAGCCCCAAAGGGTGTGTGTGTGTTATAAGTTGTGTGCGAACATACACACATACACACTAAGGTATATATACGTGTATATATATACACACTTCTGTATGTACATGCATGTGTCTATACACCTGTGTCTGTGTGTATACGCAGTGGTTAAGAGCACAAGACTATATATCAGGGAGCTTTGGCTTAAACCCAGCCCTGTCCTAGTAGTTGTGTAATTGTGACTTTGAGTGTGTTAGTTTCTCTAAGCTTCAGTTTCCTCATCCATTTAAAAAAAAAGAATAATATCAACTCTATATGTTTGTGGGAGAAAGGAGCTGATAACACAAACAAGATACTTGGGTGATCCTAAAATATAATAACAGCTCAAAAGTATGGCTATGTTTATCAAGAAGCAAAATTCCAATCATTGGACATGTAGTCAGATCCATGCATCTTTTGTAATATGTACCCATTTATTGATATATACAGGCACATTCATAGATATAATTTATTGCATACTACCTTGTCGTAGTGCTCAACTGACATGCCTGAATCTTGGAACCAGTAAGGAACAAATCAGGATTCACATTTATGGCTACCCAACTTCAAAACTGAAGAGCTTACATATTAATTCTGGGCAAATACTGACAGAACTGGCTAGAGAATCCCATTCTTGAATGACTACACTATAGACCACGACAATATGAGACTGACATCCATCCAGATCATTGGGTGGCAAGTGGTCTTTTTCAACCCCATAATATCTGTACTACAATGAGGTCGGCCTGTTTCCATCCCATTCCCAGGCTAGTGGAAGCCTGCCAATTCAGGCATCAGTGCAGATTTAGTGGTCAAAACTTCAGTGTTCAGAAATGTATCCCTCTGGTTCCATTTCTTGGTCAACAACTTGTCTCTGGAACCCTAGTATCATTAGTGAAGATGTGCCGTGATGCGAAGTCCAAGAAGATCCACCTACGTATCACCAAAAGTGCCTCTTCCTTTCTGCTGGGGCAGGGTAGATGCTAGGAGTGTGTTTCTAAAGGACAGGTGGGGTCTTCCTGCCCATGTATGCAGAGCCCCACAGCCCTGAATGTTGCCACAGAAGTTTCCAGAAAGCCCAGGACAACTGCAGAATTGAGCTCAAGTCTTACAGTGGTTTGCAGTCTACTATCACACACAAGATCAAAGCCTGAGTAGAAGTTGCAGCTCCCTATATATATGCTCCACCTCTATATTTCTCTTTGCCAACTTTCTAATTCCAGCCTTTGCCTCTCTTCTTCAGGAAGTTTTTGTAATCACTCATGGATCAGAGGTCAAAGAAACTGTCCTAATGGAAAATACGATCTAGTTAGGGCACGTGGTGTGTTCTCCTTGGTTGAAAGCCTCTTACTTTACAACACAGGCCACTCACAGTCTGTGGACCCTAATCAAACCAACTGGCTCCGCTAATTTAGTGGTGTTACTGCTCCTGCACCTTCCCTCTCCAGAGGTTACTAATTTAAGAGCACTCTTCTCTATTCTAACTTCTTTGGCTTGATTATAAAGCCTCCTATCATCAGCCCCTATTTGGAAAAATTCTGAATCCTGGACTGTATCCCATATCTGTCTCCATCCTTTAGGAATTAAGATCCAGACATCTAAATTCCTCATTTGCCATGTCCACAAATGTTAACATTCTACACTGAACCAAAAAGTAAAACTCAATTTCCCTTAATAAGTTTAGTGTCTAAAGCTACAAAAGGAGACTTTTCAGAAGGCCACACAAATCTTAGGAGGGTCTTTGTCAGGCAAAAACCAAATAAATAAAAAATAAAAGAGAAAGGAAAGGAGGGAGGGAGGGAGGGAAGAAGAAATTCAGTAAGAATTCTTTGTAACATCCAGGAGAGAACTAACATCTATCCCACTGCCAGACCACATGACAACAGGCAGTTAGTGACTACAGTTCTATTTAAAAAGACATTTAACCCATGGTGTATCTGCATCAGTATAGGTAGGAGACAAGTTATAAAGTCATTGTATTGAATCTTCTTGAAGACTTTACTACTCAATAGGGGGAAAAAAGATTAGGAGTCGTCACTGCTTAGAAAGTTCAACAAAGCATATAGAAGTATGGTAGCAAATATCTTTACCTTAATTTAGACGACAGTTTTCTTACTGTTTCCTTGATAGATGTGCCTTGGGAAGACTTTGTCAGTACAGAAGCAACGTTACAACCACCACTCACAGAAAAGCTGGCGTTGCATCCAGAACCTGGACTTGAATCTTCCATCAGTGCACTGTGCAAAAAACAAGCTGAGACTTATCATTTCAAAGCCGGAATCAGGGGATCCCTGGGTAGCGCAGCGGTTTGGCGCCTGCCTTTGGCCCAGGGCGCGATCCTGGAGACCCGGGATCGAATCCCACGTCAGGCTCCCGGTGCATGGAGCCTGCTTCTCCCTCTGCCTGTGTCTCTGCCTCTCTCTCTCTCTCTCTCTCTGTGACTATCATAAATAAATAAAAAAAATTAAAAAAAAAATCTTAAAAAAAAAAAAAAGCCGGAATCATGTAAGATACTAATAAATTCAGAAACATTAAAATACAACAAATGAGAGCGAGGCCATATACGTCATGCTAAAAACTGTCATTTAGGTAGTTATAGAAAATCAATTCTCAACTAGAAAAATTACTATTTATTCCTGACAAATTTTGTTTCAAGGTTTTTGTGTAGCCACAATTAAACAGAATTGGTGGTAATGTATTCTCAACAACAGTAGTCACATACCATTTGTCTCATTTGTTGAAAGAGGCTTTTGAACTAAAGTTCTGTTTTAGCCTGGGGGAAGGTACATACAGAACTAAAACAAAAAGGAGCAAAGTCAGGTGAAAGCACTTAGGTAAGATCTGGAGAAAGAGGAGTGTTCCAGGTGATGTGTAATGATCCTGGGTAGTAATGAGGCAGGACTACTGGTACAGTGAAAAGGCAGGGCTGCTGGGGTAGAGAAGAAGAAAGGGATGAGGGGATAAGGGGATAGGAGTAAGAGGGGATGGGGGGTGGGAGGAGGTGGGGGGAGGGCTGGCACCCATGGCCATAGGACATGAACTAGAGCTTATTCTAAGCGGAGCAGACATTACCACTAGAGGGTTTCTCGCATGGAAGCAAGGTTATCTATTATGTTTTAAAAGGAAAACTGGCTGCAGCATAGAGAATAATCCACAGTGAGAATGCTCAGAATAGTGTAGCGTGTTAATGAGACCCCAAGCTTTCAGTATTGTGGGAACAGAAAAAAGTTCAAGAGGGCTGGGGGACATGCAATTTGGGAGGCCAAGCTGCATGGGAAGGTAGGGGTCAGATCATGTAGGGATCTGTCTGTCAAATAAGGAGGAGATTTTTGTCATCTTTTCATGCTAGCGTTAAAGCTCTAGAGAGTTTTATATGTTTATACTGTATGGGTCATTTAAAAATTGGACAAAAGCTTGTATCAAATGGAATGTGTTTCTACCGTCAACGCGTTTTTGGCATTGATTCTACTAACTTCAGCTGAATTTTATTTAAGGTTAAGAACATTATAACTAATGCTTGTCTCTTCAAGAAGTATTTGTACAATATTTGAAGCCTATTAACTATAACTTTCTTTACGCTAAAATTTTATTAAAGTAATCCTCTAAAAAATTCTTTTAACATTTTTTGGGATGCTGAAAAGTTATGCCAGCACCTGGGGCGGGGGGTGAAAGGTAAAATGCACTACACCTGAACCTGTTTCTCTTCCTGCCAAATAATAATAGTGCCCACCACAGAGAATGTGCTGAGGATTAGCCAAGACTTACAAAGAATTCAGCCCAATGCCTATGCTTAGTAAGTGCTCAGTAAATAGCACCTAATTATACTGTTATTATGATCATCTTTATCATCACTACCATTATTAGTGAATTTGATAAGAATCTCCACAAAGACTTTTAATTGGACCACAGTTCTAACACTCATGTTGTAGATATAACTCAAAGATGATTAAAAAAACACACACACACACACACAATCTCATAAAAAACCTAAGAGTAACATATAGTACATACACACACACATACACACACACAGAATGTGTTTTACTTTGGGGGTGAATTTGAAATTTTAATTCAAACTTTAATAAATAACTCTAGGTTAAACCATTGTCCATAAAGTGGCCTAGCAATGGAATGGGGGGAGGGGAAACGGCATCATTGATTCAATCAACAAATACACCAACTTGGAGTCAGCTGCTTATTCTGAACACTAATGACACAGAGATGATAACAAGAGAGCCCTGCTCTTGTGGAGTGAGTTAGCTCCCAGTGAAAAATACAGAAAAAGCACGCTAGAATGGAAAATATTAAAAGAAATAGTCGAGTCAATAAGATACTTTAGCATAGTAACAAGTGCTCTGAACAAAACCATGCAGGATGCTAAGATCTGATAGGGTGCCTCGTCAGGAGTGGGACAGGTGATTTTGGATGGAGTGCCGTGGGAAGACTTCTCAGACACTTGAAGTTATGAAGAAGAAAAGATACTGCCCCGTCCTTATGGGAAGACAGACATTCAGATAGACAATCCCACTGGACTGGATGATGGTGTTGCAAACCATTGTATGTCAGAATATAGCTGGTATTTAACAGATAATTATGGAGGTTGAAGATGACCGATTTGATCACTGCAACGGTGGCTCTCTGAAACCCTTGAGCTTGCCAGCAAGACTTGGGGGCCCCAGAGGGGAGAACACCTGAACCAGACCGTGAAGGAAAGAGTTACAGACTGGTGTCCAGCTTGCAGAGGGCAAAGGAAGCAGTGTGGACAAAGCGATGGAAGTGTGATAAAACAGGGCTTAAAGCAATTCCGAAACTCTGAGAAGCAGAGTGGGGGCTATAGGAAGGGCCAAGAGTGAAGGGGACTGACATCATGCTAAGGGATAGTTTATAACTTATCTTGCAAGTGATAGGGCCACAAAAGGCTTCTGGGTAGAACAGGGAAGTGGGGGGATGTGAGGATCAGAGGGGCTCCTCTGTCAGCAGGTAGAGAGAATAAAGATGTTTTTATCTGGCACTTCGTTCTACACTCCAATGCAAAAAGAGCCCAGGATTTAGATCCAGGGACACTGGGTCTACATGCCTGGAAAGCACCTTTGACAAGTTTGTCTGAGTGAGGGTAAGGGTTTGCTTCCTTGAAAATGTTCCTATTTTCTTGGGCATCCAAAATATTCAGCTGATTTTATGTTAAAAGTGACAAAATCTCAGGTCAAGAAAATTCCAGCAACGCAATGATTATCATAATTCTACATACATATAACAGATAATGAGCCACACAAAAAAAAAAACAGGTTCGATTGTATATTCACACCTTATATATACGTGACATTTTCAGTTCTTTGACTGCATTACAGTAATTTGAATTAGCTGCTCGCGGTGAGTAGGAAGTTAAGCCTGTTCCACTTCATTATCCCCAAATGCTCACAAAAGAAAATAAAAAGGATTGGGGAAAAGGTAAGAAACCTAGCCGTATTCTATTCTTTCTTGTCTCCTTTGTAATTTTGGTTCTGTTCTTAATTGCCTTTGCTTGTTGCTATTATTTTCTTTCTTCTTGTATTTAAACATTGATAATTACTTTGCAACAGTATAATTGCACTCACTTGGAATTTGTATAATTGCAGTACACTCACCTTTCCCGGTTAGGTAATGAAGAGTTTCTCTTTATTTCTGGATTATCACTGCACAGCTCCTGCTTTTCTTCAAAAGACCGATAAAATGAAGACAATCACATTTTGATAATCACACAATAAAGTGAACTGAAAGAAGTGTCGGCAGTTTATTAACTGCTTATAGATAATTTGGCTTTGTATTCCAAACATCTCCTTGTTAAGGATATTGAACCGATATGTTTTTTTTTCTTAAAGATTTATTTATCCATGAGACAGAGAGAGAGAGACAGAGACAGAGAGAGAGAGGCAGAGACATAGGCAGAGGGAGAAATAGGCTCCTCACAGGGAGCCCGACGTGGGACTCAATTCCAAATCCCAGGATCACGCCCTGAGCTGAAGGCAGATGCTCAACCACTGAGCCACCCAAGCGTCCCTGCACCAATATGTTCTTAATGCGACTTATATTAACCTTTTAATAAAGTGTAGATGGTGTATATAATAATCCAAGAGCCTTTGTAATTTATTTTTTCTAAGTTCTTATTCATGATGCTTATTACTCGTGATGGGTGTGCACGGGTGACTGCTTGAGGCCGTCGGGATTCCCTTTCCTCACCAGCCTCTGCCCAGACAACCTCCTCTTCCCCCTAGAATCCCACTCTATTCCATTTTAGGTTCAGGTTCAAGAACATCCTAACAGATGCCAACCCCAAACATATCTCTAGTAGGGAGTTTAATTATAAAGCAGGAAGAGATCTGGAGTCATCTAGTCGACCTCCTCAATGAGGCCACTTCAGAATTGTATGTTCAAGAGAGTGATTCATTTGCAATTCATAGAGGAGCAGAAATGTTTCGACTCCTTGGACTGGTTTTAAAAGTATGGTGGAGTCAGTAGACTAATAAGTCAATGTGTCTTTCTTCCATCCATCTCTAGAATTCATTGTGGTAACTGTCCAAATATCTTACTCCACACCAAGTAAACCCTTGTCAACAAGTGTAGGACCAATAAAGGCCAAATGGAGCAGTAGAGCAACAAAGGAAGCTTTAGATAGTGTGGGAATGGCTGAGGATCTACCTGACTCCTTTAAGTAAATACAAAAGAGAAAACACAGAAAGAGGTTTCCTAAGCATACTGTAGGCACCACTGGTTTTACTCACTGGCTTGCATACAAAGTGAATTTTTTTTAGCCCAAGAGCCAACTAATCTATAATTATGGTTATTTGACATTATTTCACAATTTGTTCATTCCAAACCCAGGATGAATATTTGAAATTAAATATTAATTTTAGGATCAAAATTGTATTAACAATTTTTCCATTACAATTTAGGAATCCAACAGGCACATACTTGAAATCATGTTAATAGTTTGAAGCTTCTACAAAAGACTGGCTTTAAGATTAAGAGAGCCTTACAAAAGAAATCCTGATTGTGGAATTGCAAATTATCCTAATTAAGATGAAAAAGAAAAAAAAGTGCAATTTCTTAGGGATCTCACTAATGGGTTCAATATAAAGATGTGTGTGAATGACTGATTAGGTTACCTGAGCAACAAAGTATGAAGGAAGAGGGAGCTTAGGACCAACAGTGAACACAGAATGATGCCATGGACCGATACAGGGACTGGGAATGAGGAAGCCAAAATGAGCTGAGGCTTGGTAAAGAGGCTAAGAAAGAAAGGCTTTAAAACTTAATTCAGAATAACAGGGGACCATGGAAATGACGGGCTTGCTGCTCAGGTCCAGTGGTATAACAGACAGAACTTTCCTAAGTCCAGTTTGCTCCCAGCTTCTCTATCCAGGGCAATTGGTTTTGGACTGAATAGTATAAAATGGCAACTCTAAGTTTCAAAAAGGTCAAGTCTCTCAACTGAGACAAAGGACGTCCAAAGGGCACAAAGAAACTAGTGAAGGTGTTAGCTGAACTAGTCTCAGGGGAATCATTAAAAGCAGGAAAACGACTAAATAATTAAAGATAGAGGACTGTCATAATTTTCAAAATACTGTCTGAAAATTAAAGAGCTCATATCAAAACACTGCAAATGTCTAAACAGAGTTCAATGCAGAGAGTGGCACACGTCTACCGCTGGGAACGTCAGGCCATGTGGCAGTGCTGGGGGGATTCTCCTTAGGAAGTGAACATCTCTTGTGACCTCTGAAACACATGAGATTGGCGGCTCACCCTCCACCCACCCCTCTTCCCACTTTTGGAACGACACATTTTAACTTTTAAAAATCCAAAATGCTGCCTAACTTCCAGTCTGTATCCCACATCAGATATGCCACCTAAATCACATTGAAAACAACTCAAACATTACAGCTAACATAGGTAAACTGAAAATTTTTTTTACCTCTTTTCATAAGAGAAACTTCCTTTTTTTCTTGTTTCAATGAAACATCAGCATCACTTTTATCTAAAACCTGAAAAACAAGCCATTTACTTAAAGCTGCACAAAAATATAGGATGTATCAAAGGGTGCAAAATGACCTTGAGTGTCTATGCCCATATTAGAGAGAGAGACCAGAAGTACAGTTTATACACGTTCATGAAAAGAGATAATCATGCACATGGTAGAAACTTATATTGGCGTGCATCTCAAGGATGGTTACATCACAATTGTCATTTATTTACTTCTACAGATTTCCTTATTGGGATTTTTATACTTCCATCAATATTTGTGCAGATTTTTTTTTTTAAAAATCCATACCGTATGTGGATGTAACAATGACTCCAACAAATGAGCCAAGTATTTGGTTCGCCAGGAGCAACCATGGGGCCTCTGCTGTTTTGAGGAGGCTTATCACATTCGTGGTTGATACAGAACAGCCACAGAGCAGGAGTTCAACATCAGTGCAGTTGGTGCAATGAAAACCTTGGGGAGGCTGGGGCCTGAGGCCTGAGGCCCCAAAGCATGATGGGGAAGAAGACAGGGATGGGGATGAGGCATGCACCTGGGCATTGAGGAAGGGATGCCTTGTCTTTTGATAAAATTCCAAGAAATCTGCCTAAGAGGGGTTACAGAGCCTTAATGTGTTGAATGCAGGAGCCAGGAGGGTTGGTGGCACCTGAGAGTGAGGGTGTGTGTGTGATGGTGTGATGTCTGGGGTGCGTGGGGGGCACTGGGCGTTGGGAGAGCTGGGGGTGGGACGTGCCATCCAGAAGCCAGGTGGGCCACTGCTTTGGGAAGCCTGAAGACCCATTTTGCAAGGCTCACACAAAACAAACCTACCTTCTGGAAATGTAGTCTTTAGATCAGAGAAAGCGAGAGTTAGTTTATGCCCTCAAGGAAAACGGCCCTAGAATGTTCCCTTTGTGTAGTCTGTAAATCTGTGAGGAGCTGGGGGAACAGGCAGCAAAAGCTGAAAATGGAGAAGTCCAGGGGAAGGCGAGAGCTCCTGATCTGCAGCCCCCGAACCTGCGCTGGGACCACACTGCGGCCCCGCTTCCACGGCCCGGTGGAGGGTGCGGAGCTGCTGGTTCTCGGGAGCTGCCCACCCAGTCGGGGCTCGTCGAACCTTTGAGCCCCCTGTGCCCTGCTAAACACACACCGGGAGCGGCTACCTCTCCTCTCCCCTCCCAGGAAACACAGGCGCATATTTTTTTAAATTTATTTTTTATTGGTGTTCAATTTGCCAACATATAGAATAACACCCAGTGTTCATCCCATCAAGTGTGCCCCCTTCAGCGCCCATCACCCACTCACCCCCATCCCCCGCCCACCTCCCCTTCCACCACCCCTTGTTCCTTTCCCAGAGTTAGGAGTCTCTCATGTTCTGTCTCCCTCTCTGATATTTCCCACTCATTTTTTCTCCTTTCCCCTTTATTCTCTTTCACTATTTTTTATATTCCCCAAATGAATGAGACCATATAATGTTTATCCTTCTCCGATTAACTTATTTCACTCAACATAATACCCTCCAGTTTCATCCACATTGAAGCAAATGGTGGGTATTTGTTGTTTCTAATGGCTGAGGAATATTCCATCGGATACATAGACCACATCTTCTTTATCCATCATCTTTCAATGGACACCGAGGCTCCTTCCACAGTTTGGTTATTGTGGACATTGCTGCTAGAAACATTAGGGTGCAGGTTTCCCAATGTTTTGCTGCATTTGCATCTTTGGGGTAAATCCCCAGCAGTGCAATTGCTGGGTGTAGGGAAGATCTATTTTTAACTCTTTGAGGAACCTCCACACAGTTTTCCAGAGTAGCTGCACCAGTTCACATTCCCACCAACAGTGCAGGAGGGTTCCCCTTTCTCCACATCCTCTCCATGGACTTTCTTCAGAGAGTTGGAACAAATTATCTTAAGATTTGTGTGGAATCAGAAAAGACCCCAAATAGCCAGGGGAATATTAAAAAAGAAAACCAGAGCCGGGGGCATCACAATGCCAGATTTCAGGTTGTACTACAAAGCTGTGGTCATCAAGACAGTGTGGTCCTGGCACAAAAACAGACACATAGATCAATGGAACAGAATAGAGAATCCAGAAGTGGACACTGAACTTTATGGTCAACTAATATTCGATAAAGGAGGAAAGACTATCCGCTGGAAGAAAGACACTCTCTTCAATAAATGGTGCTGGGAAAACTGGACATCCACATGCAGAAGAATGAAACTGGACCACTCTCTTGCACCAGACACAAAGATAAACTCAAAATGGATGAAAGATCTAAATGTGAGACAAGATTCCATCAAAATCCTAGAGGAGAACACAGGCAACACCCTTTTTGAACTTGGCCACAGTAACTTCTTGCAAGATACATCCATGAGGGCAAGGGAAACAAAAGCAAAAATGAATTATTGGGACTTCATCAAGACAAAAGCTTCTGCACAACAAAGGATACAGTCCACAAAACTAAAAGACAACCTACAGAATGGGAGAAGATATTTGCAAATGACCTATCAGATAAAGGGCTAGTTTCCAAGATCTATAAAGAACTTATTCAACTCAACGGCAAAGAAACAAACCATCCAATCATGAAATGGGCAAAAGACATGAAGAGAAATCTCACAGAGGAAGACATAGACCTGGCCAACAAGCACATGAGAAAATGCTCTGCATCACTTGCCATCAGGGAAATACAAATCAAAACCACAATGAGACACCACCTCACACCAGTGAGAATGGGGAAAATTAACAAGGCAGGCGCCTATTTTATACGGCATTCTAGAAACCGTGCTCATCAGGAAGTAGGTTAAATGGGCACACGTGCAGCCTAGCAACAAAAGGCCTGGGAGGCCTGGGAGGCGGTCCATCACTGCTGCTTGTGTTTCACCCAGATCCACAGCAAGAAAAGTCCTTCTAGGGTGAAAGAAATAACACTGATGCTAAGTTGCTTTTGTCCATTTCAGGATAGTTTTGTACTTTTATTGTAAATAAACTCCTGCCCTAGAAGTAAATAAAACGCATGTATTTTTTTAAAGTTCATTTTGCAAAATGACCTTAAAATGTCCATCTTACTTCTCTCCGATGTATCATCAAACTTGTAAGTTTTCTTCTAATGTGCTGAGATATTGGGAAATCTACATGCCTTTTTTAAGTGCCTCTAACTTTGAACTAAATATATTTTGACTCCTTTATAAGCAGCACAGACTATTTCCCACCGCCGTGAACAGCAACCACAAGATAAGCTGACGAGAGGAACTACTTAATGCCTTTAGTTATAACCACTTTGTTGTAATCCATGATGATCCAGCTCAGAATGTGTTCCTTTCCTTTGGTAATTCTTCCTTGTGATAAAAATCAGACAAGATGCAAGTATCCAAGATTAGGCAAAATGACAGCACTCCCGGTAGGGAACTTTGGTTGCTGGTGTTACTAGCACAGCATCATGAAATTATTTTTGCGTTTTATTGTTTAGTTCTCTGCTTTGAGTCATGCCTTGTAGAGGTTGTTTCCGTGAGGGACGGATGTGTCCCCTCACTCCAAAAATGATACTTAAACAAAGCTTTCCCATCTCTATTGCAGGAGAGATTATCTTCTTTTCCTTTCTTGTATTTTCTTTATTCTTTGGCATAGAGATGTTTAAAAGATTTTGGCTCAACAATTCACAGCTACAGTAATTCCTTTTAAATATCTACCTATCTATTTACTTTATTCTACAAATTCCTTTAATGGGATTTTTATACTTCCATCAATATTTGTGCAGATATATTTTTTAAAAATCCATACCTTATGTGGATGTAACAATGACTCCAACAAATGAGCCATATATATCTGAGTTCACAGGATGCTCTCTTCTATCACAATATATTTGTGGCTTTGAAGGTCTGAATTTTCTCAGGCTGAGACTTGCCTTTTCAATGACACTATTTGCATATTTTGATAGTGCTTACAAAGCTCTTCATATACATTACTTCATTTCATCACAGAGGGTTCTTCAGTCTCTCAGGCGTAACTGTGTTTCATGCTCTGCAGTTTGGGGATATCTCCTTCCTAAGATTTTACCTTAGTCACGAACCAGGTAACACCTCCCACACAGTAAATGAGATTACAGTCAAGTCTTAACATGGGGTTTTAGATGCCTTAATTAAAATTATGTTAACAATGAGCAGAGTGGGATTTGTCAGTTCTCCAAGGGATGCAATTTGGTGAAGTATCTATTTAAGAGGATAAATAAATCATAAATAAGTTAGAGAGAGGGGAAGAAACAAACCGTCAGCTGTGTTACTTCTGTTGTTAAGGATGCTTAAGACCCGGTTGGCATCACTTCACCTGCTTTCCTTCCTTCTAGTTCTTCCTCTAGTTCCAACGCAAGCATTTGTTATTATCAAGGACCCAAAAAAACTCCCAGACCAGCAATGCCTTCTTGCCACATTCAAAGGCCCTTTCTGTTTTTGCTCTTCCGTAGTGGACGTTACGTTCTAGGCTTCTCTCTCTCATCCACAAATTTAATCAATAAAACTGAGTTCCCAGTATGGGTCAGATGCTGTTCTGATGAAGAATACAAAGTCCTGCCTTTGTGGAGCTTATTCCCTAGTGAGGGAAAAAGGGATGTTAAGTAAATAAAAAATTTGGATACGTGATATGATGTCAGGTAACGTTACGTTCTGTGAAGAGAAGTAACCCGGGTAAGAGATGCAGGAAGGCCTAAGTCCCCGCACCCAAGCCCAGCTGCCTCTCTGGGCCTCGCTGCTCTCACCCCACACCCTCCATGTCTCCTCCTCCCTACCTGCTTTGCCACACACATGTTCTTCTCCTCTCTTGATGCCTTTGGCTTGTTTGCTGTTGATCTGCTTGCTCCTCCAAACGTTTTTCTGGTTTTTCCTCACACATCCTTCAGCGGGGCCTTTCATGCCAACTCTACAGAACTGTACTCATTGACCATCCCCACACCCGACCCCGACCCTTCCTATCCCCTTTCCTCTGCTTTCCTTTTCTCCTGAGCTCTTGCCATCATTGACCTT